GTCAGGATAACAGGAGAAGCAAGACTAGATTCCTGCTGACCCAAGACTAGATGAGTTCCCAAACACCATTAAAAAAATTGCTGAGAAAGACTATCTGGCTGAACAGTTTCTAATGCAGAGGAAAGTGCATTCTGGAAAAAAAAAATGCTGCAAAGGACATTTATTGGTAAGGAAGAGAAGTCACACTAGGATTGAAGGCAAGAAGGAATAGGCTAACTCTACTCTTCTGTGCAACTACAGTTGGGATCGTGATCAGGACTGCCCTTATCTGTAGAGCTGCTAATCCCTAACATTGAAGGGAAAAAATAAACACCAGTTGCCAGTCTTTTGGCTGTACAATAGGAAGTCCTGGAAACAAGAGACTTTTTCTGGATTGGATATGAATCCATCGATGACCATGCTTTTTCCCTGAGGTCAGAAAGTACCTTGTCATTAAGGGACTGCCTTTTAAAGTTTTTTGGTATTAGACAATGCCCCTGGCTATCCAGAACCCCATGAGTTCAACACTGAAGGCCTGAAAGTGTTGCCCCCAAACATGGTGTCCCTACTTCAGCCTTCAGATCAGGTGGTCATTAAGGACTTTTTTTTTTTTTTTTTTTTGCATTTATTCTATGCAGAATTTACTCCCGGGCCATAAGTTTTTGTTTCTTCAGTTTCTTCTGGGATATCTTTTTCTTCTGTGCAACCTCCTCTTCTGGTTTAGGAACAATCTGTTCTTTTTCAGTAAGAATCATCTCAATGTGGCAGGGAGAGCTCATGTATGGATTAATCCGGCCATGAGCCCTGTAGGTTCTACGTCGTATGTTGGGGGTTTTATTCACCTGGATGTGCTCAATGACCAGAGAATCTACATCTAAACCCTTAAGTTCGGCCTTACTCTCCACATTTTTAAGCATGTGCAGTAAAAATTCAGCACTCTTCTTGGGCCACCGACCCTGTGTCCAGCCCCACTGTTTGGCCTGCGCACACCTACCAACTCCACCATTGTAGCGACAGAATGGCACACACTGCCTCTGCAAAGTGACATCTTTCAGATACTTCGTGGCTTTTCAAATATGCATACCCTTGATGGCCTGGGCAGTTTCACGTGTGTTCTTAAAGTGAACACGAAGATTTGAACCTCTCGACTTGCATGATTTTGTAGGGTTTTCTGGGTCCAGCGAGTAGTGAACCATCTCTGGAGGCCGCTCGGGGGGAAGAGCTCATTAAGGACTTTTTAGGCTTATTGCACATGATATGCTATAGAAAAGGTTGTCAATGAGATGGAAGAGAACCTCAGTAGAGAAAACATCATGCAAGTCTGGAAAGATAACACCATTGAAGATGCCATTGTTGTTCTAGAAAAAGCCATGAAAGCAATCAGGCCTGGGAGAATAAATTCCTGCTGGAGAAAACTGTCCAGGTGTTGTACATGGCTTCACAGGATTTATGACAGAGACAAGGAAATCATGAAAGAGATTGTGATTATAGCAAAAAAAAAAAAAATGGTGGGGATGAAGGGTTTCAGGATATCTTAGAGGAATTCAAGAGCTAAGAGACTCCCCACCAGAGGAATTAAGAGTGCTTGATGGAGAGGAATGCTTCTGATGATGCCAGATGATGAAGCAGTGTTAGAAAAATTGACATTAGACAATCTGGCAGAAACATTCTGATTATTTAAGACTGCTTTTGATTTCTTTTATGACGTGTACCTTTCTAGGTATGGGCACTGCAACTAAAGAAAATGATGGAAGAAGGATTGGTATTATATGGATAGAAACATTTTTAGAGAAATGAAAAAACAAAAAGACAGAAATTATGATGTACTCCATAAAATTACACTTACTGTGCCTGCTTCTTCTGCCTCCCCTTCTGCCTTCTCCATCTCCTCTGCTGCTGTCACTCCTGAGACAGCAAGCCCCAGCCCTTATTATCCTCAGCCAGTGAGGACGAAGACCTTTGAAATGAAACATTCCACTTAGTAAATAATCATCCTGCTGTACAGTTAATAAATTTATATCTGGTATATGTGTCTGCCTACATGTGAAAATTTAGTAACTATATAGCAAGAAATATATGAGACATTTGTGTCATTATCCTCATTGCCTAAGTAGTCATTGTGTAGGACACAATATGCAAGAATTGTATGGAAGTGGATAGCCTATCCTTACATAGGCATAAGGTGAGTAATATTAAATATAAAATTAATAATGCTTTAGCTTTCTTACTGTTTTATAATTTTGCTTTCAAAGAATTACATTGTCCTACAGTATACTTTCTCTCTTGTAATTGAAGAAACTTTATATCAGTCTATCATCACAGGTAAGTGGTTTTTTAAAAAAATGTAATAGTGTTTCAGTACTGCATTGTGGATATGACTAATATTGTACCCTATAAAAATTTTATAGGGATTCATTCGTTAGTGTATAGGCTAGGCTACTGTGAAGCTATTGTATTGATTACACTAGGCTATCATAAAGCAGTACTGGTGCCACTTTATTATCAATACATGAGTTGTTATACCTGTCAGTAAATATGAATTTCTTTTTCACATTATGTTTTCATTTTTGATGTTTAGTAGTAGTAATATATGTAATATCTCTAGTGTTTTGTATCATATAAGACAATTTTGCCAGGTACTGACAGATGATTATCTTGTAAACTTATGGTATTAAAAACACAATGCAGTACTGTAAGTGTATCTTGTTTTCCTTATGATTTTATTAATATTTATTTTCTCTAGCTCACTCTGTTACTCTATTGTAAAAGTACAGTATATAATATGGATAATGTACAAAAATGTGCTAATTGTTTATGTTATTATTAAGGATTTTGGTCAACAGGATATTAGTAGTTAAGTTTTTGGGTAGTCAGAAGTTACACATGGATTTTCAACTGCATGGTGAGTTGGTGCCCTTAATCTCTATGTTGTACAAGGGTCAGCTGTACTTGAACTTCAAAAATTACCTCATAGTTAAAATTTTTTTTTTAAAGATTTTATTTATTTATTCATGAAAGACACAGAGAGGGATCCCTGGGTGGCGCAGCGGTTTAGCACCTGCCTTTGGCCCAGGGCGCAATCCTGGAGACCCGGGATCGAATCCCACGTTGGGCTCCCGGTGCATGGAGCCTGCTTCTCCCTCTGCCTGTGTCTCTGCCTCTCTCTCTTTCTCTCTCTCTCTCTTTTTTTTAATTTTTATTTATTTATGATAGTCACACACAGAGAGAGAGGCAGAGACAGATAGAGGAGAAGCAGGCTCCATGCAGGAAGCCCAATGTGGAACTCGATCCCGGGACTCCAGGATCATGCCCTGGGCCAAAGGCAGGTGCCAAACCGCTGAGCCACCCAGGGATCCCCCTCATAGTTAAGATTAAAAAAAAATGTATTTGAGAGAGACAGAGGTAGTGAGACAGCATGAGCAGGGGAGGAGAGGGAGAAGCAGGGAGCCTGACATGGGGCTTGATCCCAGGACTCTGGGATCGTGACCTGAACTGAAGGCAGACATTTAACTGACTGAGCCACCTAGGCATCCCATTGAAGTGTAGTTTGTTTTTTTTTTTTTAAGTTTTATTCATTCATTCATTCATGAGAGAGATATAGAGAGAGGCAGAGACACAGGCAGAGGGAGAAGCAGGCTCCCTACAGGGAGCCTGTTGTGGGACTTGATCCCAGGACCTCAGGATCATGCCTTGAGCTGAAGGCAGAGGCCCAACCACTGAACCGCCCAGGTGTCCCGAAGTGTAGTTAAATTTAATACTATTAAAAATGGCATATATAGTGTGATCTTATTTTTTTCTAAATTTCTTCTGTGTCATTCTATCTGTAAAAGTACATATAAAGATATCTATCTATAATAATAGCTTAGTATCTTGATAATTTTAGGATTTAAATTTGCATTTGGGGTGATTTTTAATAATTGTCTTTCTGCATTTCTGTATTTAATTTTTTTGTAACAATGGAGAGTTTAGTTTTACTAAAAAATAAATTCTATACACAAGTATGTGAAGATATTAACAGTGGTTAACTCTGGGTAGGAGGATGAATGTATATGATTTTAATTTTTTCCCTACTTTTCCTTTTAAAAAACTCTTTTGTTTAAATTTAAAATAAAAAAGAAGAAAACAAAAATGCTTGAGTATTTCAGAGCAGATTAAGCCAGATTTGGAGGGACACCTGGGTGGTTCAGCAAGGAGAATGCCCCCCCCCCCCATGAATAAATAAATAAAATTAAAAAACAAAAAAAGAAAAACCAAAAGCCAGATTTGGAGATGATAGTTACTCGGGTTCGTAATATGACATATGGCATAGGAATATAGCTTATCCAGATCTGAGAAGTGATGATTTTGGAATTGGTAATCCAGTTGTGGAAAGGATAATCCCTAGAAGTAGTACAATATTAATGTGGAATTGAAATACATGCACTTTCATGGTGTATTTAGGGGATACATTTTTTTGTTAAGTAGTCTTCATGCCCAGCGTGGAGCCCAATATGGAGCTTGAATTCATGACACTGAGATCAAGACCTGAGCTGAAATCAAGAATCGCTTAACCAACTGAGTCACTCGGAGCCCCAGGGATAAAATCTTTTTTAAATTATCACTTTGTGTCAGGACCAAATACCTTATGAAAATTGTGCTTAGACTGATTTATAGACTCATGCTGAGGACACAAAGTGTTAATGGTTTTGATACTGTTTTTAGTAGTAGGGGAATTATGCTGTATATCAAAGAATAGATTTCTCATTTCCTGAGGATTTCATAATAGTAATTTTTTTCCTTCTGCACTATGAAAAAACTAGTTTGCTAGTTGCGAAAAGCTGGAAACTGTTAAATGTGACAATATTATTGAATTGAAAATTAGAAAAAAGTAATTTGATGATAATATAAAGTTTTTAGTTCTGATTTTCTGAATGAGACTAAGAAAAGATTGAATAAAATATAGACATAAATAGTTTAATGGCAGAAAGTGTTCTATTTTTCACTAGTTTTTGTCTCTCTCCCTACCCCCGACTCTCTTACAGACTCACCAGTCAAAAGAAGATGGAGTTTATGTTTTTCAGCCCCACAGTCAGCCAGTTAGCTGTCTTTACTTCTCACCTGCCAATCCGGCTCACATACTGTCACTGAGCTATGATGGCACATTACGCTGTGGAGATTTTTCAAGGGCTATTTTTGAAGAGGTAAATATTAATGTGTTTACATATTGAGTTGAGATGATATTCTGGATTCTTTGAAATGCTATATGAATGATTATTATACCAGTCAGAATGAGTGAAGTGGTATAAAATAGGAACTTTAGTACTACACTGCTTAAGTTTGAATCACAGGCCTTCTGTAACTACTTGTGTGACCTTGGAAGTTATTTAACCTCTTTGTCCCTCAATTTCCTTAGCTGTAAAATGGGATAGTAATAGTACCTATCTCATGATAAGTTTAGTTGTAAAACGGGATAGTAATAGTACCTACCTCGTGATAACCTTTTCACAGGATTAAATGACTTAAGGCAGATAAAGTGGTTAGAATGAATGCAGCCAGATACATTAAATGTTTGCTCTCATTACTTTTTAATTTATGCAGAAAGCTTTATTTTGTATTACTATATTTTACTGAAGTATAGTTGATACACAATGTTACATTAGTTTCAGGTGTACTAATAGTGATTCAGCAACTCTATACATTATGCGGTGTTCACCATAAGTATAGCTACCATCTGTCACCATGCAATGCTATTATAATACCATTGACTATATTCCCTATGCTATTTGTTTTATCCTTTTTTTATTCCCATATTCATTCCAATACTGGAAGCCTGTATCTGCCATTCCCCTACATTCATTTTGCCCATTTCCCCCCATTCCTGCGAATCCCTCTGGCAACCACCAGTTTGTTCTCTGTATTTAAGAGTCTGTTTCTGCTTTTTTTATTTATTTGTTTTTTAGATTCCATCTAAGTGAAATCATAAGCTATTTGTCTTTCTCTAACTTAACCTCATTTAACAAAATGTCCTTTAGGTCCATGTATATTGTCACAAAAGGCATGATCTCATTCTTTTTTTGTGACTAATATCCCATTGCATAAACATACACACACACACACACTCACACACACACATCCACATCTTCTTTATCCATTCATCTATCAATGGATATTTAGGTTGCTTGCATATCTTCACTATTGTAAGTAATACTGCAGTGAACTTAAGGGTACATATATCTTTTTAATTTAGTGTTTTCATTTTCTTTGGGTAAATATTAGTGGAATTACTGCATTGTATGGTTTTTCTGACTTTAGTTTTTTGAGGAACCTCTATACTGTTTTCTAAGGTGGCTATACTAATTTACATTCCCACAAGCCCAGCAGTTGCACAAGGGTTCCTTTTTCTCCACACCTTTGCCAATATTAGTTATTTCTTGTCTTTTTGATAGTAGCTATTCTAACAGGTGTAAGGTGAGATCTCATTGTAATTTTGATTTGCATTTTCCTGATAATTAGTGATGTTGAGCATCTTTTCATATAACTGTTGGCTATCTCCATGTCTTTGGAAAAATGTTCACGTTCTCTGCTCATTTTTTTAATTGGATTACTTGGGGATTTTTTTGGTGTTCAGTTGTATAAGTTCTTTATATATTCATTATATATATATAAGGGATGTTACCCTTATCAAATATATCATTTGCAAATATCTTGTCCCATGTAGTAGGTTTGGTCTTTCTTTCTTTCTTTCTTTCTTTCTTTCTTTCTTTCTTTCTTTCTTTCTTTCTTTCTTTCTTTTTTCTTTTCTTTTCTTTTCTTTTCTTTTCTTTTCTTTTCTTTTCTTTTCTTTTCTTTTCTTTTCTTTTCTTTTCTTTTCTTTCTTTTCTATGATTTTATTTATTTATTCATGAGAGGCACAGAGAGAGAGAGAGGCAGAGACGCAGGCAAAGGGAGAGCAGGCTCCATGCAGGGAGCCTGATGGACTCCTATCCCAGGTCTCCAGGGTCACACCCTGGGCTGAAGGCGGCGCTAAACCGCTGGGCCACCAGGGCTGCCCTAGGTTTTCTTTTCATTTTTTTGATGGTTTCCTTTGCTGTACAAAACTTTTCTATTTTAATGTAGTTGTAATAGTTGATTTTTGCTCTTCTTCCCTTACCTTAGGAGACATATCTAGAAAAACGCTGGTAAGTGTGGTGTCAGAGATTACTGCCTATGTTTTCTTTTTTGGAGTTGTATGGTTTCAGATCTCACATTTAGGTCTTGAATCCATTTTTAATTGATTAATTAGGTTTTTTTTTTTTTTTAAGATTTTATTTATTTACTCATGAGAGACACAGAGAGAGAGGCAGAGACACAGGCAGAGGGAGAAGCAGGCTCCATGCAGGGAGCCCAATATGGGACTTCCAGGATCACGCCCCTGGGCAGCAGGGAGGCGCTCAACTGCTGAGTCACCCAGGCTTCCCCCTCCATATTTGTTCTTTCTCAAGATTGCTTTGCCTATTCGGGTTCTCTTATGGTTCCATACAAATGTTAGTATTACTAGTACTAGCTCTGTGAAAAATGCTATTGATATATTTGTTGATAGGAATTGCATTGAATCTATAGATTGCTTTGAGTAGTATGGATATTTTAACAGTATCGGTTTTTTCAATCTGTGAGTATGGTGTATCTTTCCATTTGTGTTATCTTCAATTTTTTTGATCATTGTTTTATAGCTTTCAGAATACAGGTCTTTTATGTTGTTGGTTACATTTATTCCTATTCTTTTTGGTAGATTTTTAAAAATATTTGAGAGAGAGAGAGAGAGTTCGGTCAAGGACAGAGGGAGAGGGAGAGAAAGTCTCAAGCAGGCTCTGCACTGAGCATGGAGCCTGATGTGTAGGGCTTGACCTTATGAACCTGAGATCACAACTTGAGCTGAAACCAAGAGTCAGATACTTAACCAACTGCACTCCCAGGCACCCCTTTTTGGTGCAATTGTAAATGGAATTGTTTTCTTAATTTCTTATTCTGCTACTTTGTTATTATAAAGTATAACATTAATTTTGTATCCTACAACTTTCCTGAATTCATTTTTTATATCTAATAGCTTTTTGTTAGAGTCTTTAGGGTTTTCTATGTATAGTATCATGTCATCTGCAGAGACAATTTTACATTTTCCTTACCGATTTGGATGCCTTTTATAATTATTTTTATCTGATTCTTGGGTGAGGACTTCCAGTACTATGTTGAATAAAACTGGTGAGAGTGCACATCTTTGCATTGTTCCCGATCTTAAAGGAAAAACTCAATTTTCACCATTGAGGGTGATGTTAGGTGTGTATTTGTCTTTTTTTTAAGATTTATTTATTCAAGAGGGAGTGTGCAAGTGAGCAGGGGGAGGTGGCAGAGGAAAAGGAAGAGAGAGAATCCTGAAACAGACACTGTGCTGAGTGCAGAGCTTGATGCAGGGCTCGATCCCAGGAACCCTAGATCATGATCTGAGCCAAAATCAAGAGTTAGCATCTCAACCAACTGAGCCTTCCAGGCAGTATATACCTACCTGTTCTGGACATTTCATATAAATGGAATCACACAATTTGTAGTCTTTTGTGATTTCATTCTTTTACATAACAATGTTTTCAAGATTCATCCATGTTGCAGAATATGTCATTACTTCATTCCTTTTTATGGATGAATAATATTTCACTATACAGACATATCACATTTTACTCATCCGTTCATTAGTTGATGAACATTTGGGTTGTTTCCATTTTTTACTATTGAAAATAATATCGTTATGGACATTGATGTACAAGTTTTGTTTGAACATACACTTTCATTTCTTTTGGGTATATATATACCTAGCAGTGGAGTTGTTTGATCATATGGTAACTCTGTGTTTAGTAGTTTGAGGAACTACCAAACTGTTTTCCAAAGTGCCTTCACCGTTTTACATACTCATTCACAATATATGAATATTCCAATTTTTCCACACCCTTGCCAGTACTTCTTGTTGGTGACTATAGCCGTCCTAGTGAGTATGAAGTCTTATGTCTATGGTTTTGATCCTCATTTTCCTAATGATTAATGATGTCTAGTGTCTTTTCATCTACTTATTGGTCATTTGTATTTGTTTAGAGAACTGTTGATTTCTCTAAATGTTGGATTTTTTGCCTAATTTTTAATTGGGTTATCTTTTTAGTATTGAGTTGTAAGATTTCTCCACTTTTATATTTAAAGTTAGATTTATTGAAGTGTAAATTATATACAGTAAAATTTATTCTTTTAAGTGTATGGTTCTATGAGTTTTAACAAATTGTCTACACCTATGCAACTGCCATCACAATCAAGATATAGTAAATTCCTGTCACCTGAAAAAAATCACCTTGTGACCCTTTGTAGTCAGTCCCCTCCCCTTCCCACAGTGCCTGACAACCACTGATATGATTACTGTTCCTATAATTTTATCTGCTCCAGAATGTCAAATAAATGGAATCATGTGGCATGGAGTTTTTTATGTCTTGCTTATTTCACCTAACATAATATTACTAAGAGTCATCTATAATGTTGCATGTGTAAGTAATGTGCCCCTGATAGTACTGATTGAAGAATTACCTTGTGTTAGGCATTATCTAAGAGTGCTTTATATATATTGGTAAGCCTTATCACACACTATGAAATAATGTTATCCCCACTTAACATTTGAGAAAACTGAGGTAAAGAGGTTTGTTGGCTTGCTCAGGGACATAAATGGCAGTGCTAGATTTTTCACTTTGGTCTGACTCCACTGCAATTAAGCTTCTGCACTTAACCATTGTAATATACTGACTGAATACTTCTGGTTTCATTTGGAGCTTTTTTGGTTGTACATGCATTGTGATGCCTTTGGTATATTAATTTGTTAATCTCAGTTTGTAATAGTATATGCAGCTTTTTATTAAAAGTAAAAATCAGCAATTAGTGATTCAGTGTTAAGAATTGTGGCTAAGTATACTTCCAAAAAGTACACATACACTTATAAGCATACAGATGTAGATTTTTTTCCTTTGCAATAATGGATTCATACATATACATACTTTTTTGCAACTTGCTTTTTTTCCCTTAGTAGTATGGACAGATTGTAGTATAAATTTACCTCCTTCTTTTTAGCAATGCATGGCATTTCAAAGTTGAGATGTACCATCATTTATTTAAACAGGCCTCTTTTGGTGAACATTTAGGTTGCTTTTGTATTGCTATTTTAAAAAAAGTATTTTATTTTATTTATTCATGAGAGACACAGAGAGACAGAGACATATGCAGAGGGAGAAGCAGGCTCACTGTGGGGAGCCCAATGTGGGACTTGGTCCCAGGACCCCGGGATCAAGACCCGAGCCGAAGGCAGATGCTCAACCACTGAGGCACCCAGGTGTTCCTATTACAGGCAGTCTTTCAGTAGGCATCTTTATATATATCTTAGATAAATTATTGGTTTAGAGGGTATAGGCATTAAATATTTTAATAGGTGTACTCTGACTAGTCAGAAATTTGTTATTTATTTATTTATTTATACTTCTACCATGAGTAAATGATATGGCCATATGACCATATTTTTTTGGAGTTGGTTGGCAAAATTACTTGGTATTTTAAGGTATTTCAGTTGGGTAGTATTCAGATTTAGTTCATTTCTTATTAAGTGACACAGAATAGATCTGCAACTGAGGTTGATTGGGTTTAAGAGATTTGGCATGTAACCCTGACATGAGTGGATCAGCCATTTGATTGTTTTGAGGACTCTCATAGCTGATCAGTGTCTTAGTTTCCATCTCTATAAAATGGATGATCATTTTGCTCTGTGCTTTCTGCATGATGATGGGAGGATAAATGATATTATTAGGTAAAGTGCTTTATAACTTTTTACCAAAGAATTTATGCGTTGGTTGTTATTTATATCCTTAGGTATATAGAGATGAAAGAAGTAGCTTTTCCTCTTTTGACTTCTTGGGAGAAGATGCCTCCACTTTAATAGTAGGACACTGGAATGGAAATATATCACTGGTAGATAGACGGACACCTGGAACTTCTTATGAGAAACTTATCAATTCTTCTTTGAGAAAAATAAGAACTGTTCATGTCCACCCAGTGCATAGACAGTATTTTATCACTGCAGGATTGAGGTATGTTCTTAATAAAGTTTTGTGATTTAAGTCTTTTAAAATTAGGAATACTGTTTTTTTATTTAATTTTTAAAGATTCATTTATTTATTTTAGAGAGAATGCAAGTACCTAGAGGGGCAGAGAGATGGGGGAGAGAGAGAGAATCCTCAAGCAGACTGCCTGCTGAGACAGAGCCTGATGCTGGGGCTTGATCCCAGGACTGTGAGATCATGACCTGAGCTGAAACCAAGAGTTGGACATTTAAAAGACTGAGCCACCCAAGTGCCCTGAAGGACTACTATTGTAGTTTGGATGTCAAAGACATTTAACTTTTGTGATACCCATATAGCTAAATAACTTCTTTCCATACCAATTGAGGTTTTATTGAGTGTGATTTTTTTTAAAAGAGTTTCTTTTGAAAAAAAAAAAAAGATGCTTTTACCTTTAATAAGTAGTGAAAGTATCAAAAGAAAAGCATTTTTGTTTTCCTTGGCATCATATGCATTTACTTTTTTCTTTTTAAGATTTATTTATTTATTTATTTTTTTGAAAGAGAGCACAAACGGAGGAGGGACAGAGGGAGAGGGAAAAGCAGACTTCTGCTGAGCAGGGAGCCCAATGTGGGACTGGACCCCAGGACCTGGACCGAAGGCAGACGCTTAACCCACTGAGCCATGAGGGCACCCCCATATGCATTTTTTTAAAAAAAAATTTTATTTATTTATGATAGTCACACACACACACAGAGAGAGAGAGAGGCAGAGACACAGGCAGAGGGAGAAGCAGGCTCCATGCACCGGGAGCCCGATGTGGGATTCGATCCCGGGTCTCCAGGATCTCGCCCTGGGTCAAAGGCAGGCGCCAAACCGCTGCGCCACCCAGGGATCCCCCCCCCCCATATGCATTTAATTCTAGTCATTTGAGAAGAAAACTTGTAAAAAAAAAAAAAAAAAGAAAAGTATATGTGACCTAGAACTTGGCCTGTGTTTATTTTTTTCTCAGGTGAGAAAACCAACTAGAATCTTGTTTCTCTTTACCCACTGGTTTCATATATAATCTGTAGTATGGGATTTTTCTGATATTTCATTTTTTTTAACTATACAGTGTTTGTAAAATTATTACAGGTCAGAGTCTTCTTCAATATAATGAGTATTTGAGCATCTATGTTCAGCACTATTCAAGAGCTGCTTACTACATGTACTGTGGCAACACTGAGAATTATTCCTTCTTTTACAGGGATACTCATATTTATGATACAAGGCACTTGAATCCCAGAGGAAGCCAGCCTTTGATTTCCTTGACTGAACACACAAAGAGCATAGCTTCTGCCTATTTTTCACCTCTTACTGGTAACAAAGTAGTGACCACATGTGCTGATTGTAAACTGAGGTAAATTGGTGAGATAGAAATGTGTTAACAATCTGTAACTACTGTGTCAGTAAACCAGTAGCTTTGTTTACTACTGCTCCCTATTAAATTGCTAGTATTATGTTTTGTAGCCATTTCTGTCTGTTCCTGGACAAATAAATAACCTATATTTAATGGTTTTTCAGCAGTTTTTAGGTCTGGAAATTTCCTTGAGATTGGCAGGGAAGGTCTGTAGCTACTTCAGGGTTTAGATGTTAGGCTTCCCTTTCAGCACTGAATGATCCCAGAAGTCTCAGTAAAATCAGGCTTGTGATATATAGCCTGTGAAGAAAGATGATTTTAGAATAGTGACAAACTCTTAGGTTGGGGATAATGGGATCTATCCTATATGTGAAGCGCTGAGTAGAAATTACACAGCCCCAGGCCATGGGCAGGCAGAAAAGATAGCAATAATAGGGCTTCTGTACAAACCACTGGATATTGTTTTATGGTTTTAGCTTTGGTACCTTTCTATAGCTACTTCCTAAAAATGGCTTTAAAAATGTAATATAAACCAATTGAACCAAAAAAAGAAAATTATGACAATAAAAAATATGGGGAATGTTATGTAACCACAAAGGAAATTACTTTGTTCTATAATCCCTGATTTTGCTTAGCATAGTAAGCATTTGTCATTTATTTTTTATTTATTTTTTTAAAGATTTTATTTTTTTTATTCATGAGGGACATATAAAGAGAGGCAGAGACACAGAGGGAGAAGCAGGCTCCTCACAGGGAGCCTGATGCGGGACTTGATCCCTGGACTGGGATCATACCCTGAGCTGAAGGCAGACACTCAACTGCTGAGCCACCCAGGCATCCCAGCATTTGTCATTTTCCATTGGGAAAAGCATGGTCTTCAGTTTGTGACAGGTGTCCAGTTAGTTTCTAGTAAAATCTATGAGCGTTACCAGGTGGGTGCATTAAGAGATTTAGTCACCAGGCAGGGGCAGCCCAGTGTCCCCTTTCTACCCATACAGTTTGCTTTGTCTCAAAAGTTACGTATTGTAACCCTGCTTATTCATTTGCACTGCAGAGTTTATAATAGCTGTTAGTGACTTGGCTTTCTATTACTATAATTAGGCAATAAGTTATAGGTGCCAAGGAGGAGGTAGTGTGATGTGGTTAGTTTCTTTTTGCTAGGGTACCTGGTGGAGGCTTCTGGACTTTTTGAGCTACTCAATAAGAACTCCTCCCTTTGGTTGCTGGTTAGTCATACTCTTGGTAGCATTTGGAAATGACACTGTTCAGTCCCTCAACTAATGAATTTCATGGGGAAATTGCTCGTGATATGTACATAGTATGTTTTAGGTTATTTGTGCATTTTCAGATCACATCTCTCTTAAACGATCTATATTACTGTGAATCTGAATATAGAATCCAGATTATCACTTTATAATGTGCATTTTAAATTTGGGGTAATAGTGTTTAAATAAGTTATTTCTACACCAAACTATAAAGTACTGAATTTTACAGTATTTCTTATAATTTTTGTTAAATGTATGAGCTGAAGTTTATTAAAGCCTGACCTTATATATTTTAAAATAGCACTGATATTTAATGTCATGAACCAATGAAAAATATGTTAAATACACTGATACTCTTTCAGAAAATTTTTAAGAAGCAGTAAAAAGAGTATTAAGTTGTTCTTGATCTTTGTTTTGCAGAATCTTTGACAGCAGCTGTATATCCTCTGAGATTCCTCTGCTCACTACCATCAGGTAGGTTTCTGTATGCTGAATAATGTAGACCCTGAATTGATTATTAGCTATCAATTGGAGTGCATGCATTAGACATCTGATTGTCAAAGAGATGTAGTAGGTCTGAATTTTTGTATTGCATTATTTAAGTGTCCCAGGTTGCTAGTTTCTATCCTGTCAAGAAGGATTCTTGCTTCCATGTTCCCTGTATCTTTAAAGACGTTCAATCTTTTTTACTCGTGGCTGTTCTTTGCAGTTGGGGTGGTTATTTTTGGCTAAGGTGAAGGACTTTATTCCATCCTGAATTACTCATGTTCTTTTATTAAGGAAGATTGAGGCCATCTAAAGCTCTTTTGTTTGTACCTATTTGTTGTGGACTTAAAGGGTTTCCTTAACTTACCATTTACTTTCTCTGGTTACCTTCTTTTTGCATTTGCTACTTTTAATGTATATATTTTGCAATCAACTTTAGTCAGTGCTTTCTTCCTACACATCCCTCTTTATCAGTATTTATGAAGTTGGGAACAGAGGGTGCAATATATGTTGATTGTTTCTTAATTCATTTTATAGTTATGGAGGATACATTTAAGTGTGTTTGCTTCTTATGAATTTTTCCATCTTCATTTCCTTTTTCAAACTTTATGTCCATCAAACATTGATTCTTCCTTCTCTCTCCCTTCCAGACCTTGGCAACCATCTTTCTACTTTAGATATCTGTGATTTTAACTACTTCAGATACTTGAAGTGAGTGGAATCACAATATTTGTCATTCTGTGACTAGCTTATTTTGTTTGACATGGTGTCTTCAGTGTTCACTTATGTTTTAGCATGTGACAGGCTCTCCTCCATTTTTAAGACTTCATAATATTCCATTGTGTGTAAATACCACATTTTCTTTATCCATTCATCTGTTGATGGTCATTTGGGTTGTTTCTACAGTGCTGCAGTGAACACGGGTGTGTAAATATCTCTTCAAGATCCTGCTTCGAATTCCTTTGGATATATACCCAGAGGAATTTTTAAATTTTTTGAGGAACCTCCATATTGTTTTTCTGTAGTGACTGCACCATTTTACATTCCTACCAGTAGCACACCAGGTTTCTAATTTTTTTTTATAAAGAAGATTTTATTTATTTATTCATGAGAGAAGAGAGAGAGAGAGAGAGAGAGAGAGAGAGAGAGAGAGAGAGGGAGGAGGCAGAGACACAGGCAGAGGGAGAAGCAGGCTCCATGCAGGGAGCCCGATGCAGGACCCGATCCCGGGTCTCTAGGATCAGGCCCCGAGGCGAAGGCATAGGTAAACCACTGAGCCACCCGGGCTGCCCTTAAATGTGTTGTTTTTTTCCATTGTGGGGCTTGAACTCACAACCCTGAGATCAAGACCTGAGCTGAGATCAAGAGTCAGGTGCTTAACCGACCGAACCACCCAGGTACCCCTCTAATTTCTTTTTATGTTCATCATTCTGCTCTTTAATTGGTGATTTTTTAAAAGATTTTATTTATTTATTCATGAGAGACAGAGAGAGAGAGAGGCAGAGACGCAGGCAGAGGGAGAAGCAGGCTCCATGCAGGGAGCCTGATGTGGGACTTGATCCCGGGTCTCCGGGATCAGGCCCTGGGCTGAAGGTGGCACTAAAGCGCTGAGCCACCCAGGCTGCCCCTAATTAGTGATTATTTAAATAGGTGTGAGGTAATATCGCATTGTGGTTTTGATTTGCATTTCTTTGTTTTTTTTTTATTTGCATTTCTCTAATGATTTGTGGTGTCAAACATTTTTCATATGCTTTTTGGCCATTTATCTATCTTCTTTGTAGAACTCTCTATTCAAGTCTTGCCCACTTTTGAATTGGGTCATTTTTGTGTAGAGTTGTAGGAGTTCCTTATATGAACCATATATTGAATATATGATTTGCAAATATTTTCTATTATTTTGTAGGTTGCCTTTCGCTGTAGTAATTGTTTCCTTTGGGGCTCAGAATTTTTGAGTTTTATATAGTCCTGTTACTTCTTTTTCTTGTCCAGTTGATTTTCATGTGACTGTTCAGAATGTCCTCCTTATCAAATTCTTGTTGGTGTCATGGTGGTGCCTCACATGTAGGATCTGGCTACCTGTGCATTTATGAACACCTGGAATTTAGATCAGTCCTTCCAGATTTCCAGTAGTATGTTGGATAGAAATGGTAAGAATGGGCATCCTTGCCTTTTCCCTGATCTTTGAGGAAAAGCTTTGTCTTTAACAATTGAGTATGATGTTAGTTGTGGGCTTTTCATATGTGGCCTTTATTATTTTGAGATAGTTTCCTTCTGTTCTAGTTCATTGAATGTTTTTATCATGAAAGGGTATTAATTTCATCAAATGATTTTTCTGCATCAAATGAGATGATCATATGGTTTTGTCCTTCATTTTATTAATGTGGTATATTATATCAATTAAGTTTTGTAAGTTGAAACATCCTTGAATTCCAGGGATAGATATAACTTGGTAATGCTGTTTAATCCTTTAAATTTGTTATTGAATTCATTTTGTTAGTATTTTGTTGAGGATTTTTGCATCAGTATCCGTTAGGGATATTAGTCTGACATTTTATTTTCTTGTAGAGTCCTTGTCTGATTTTTATATTAGAGTAGTGCTGGTCTCAAGTTTGCAAGTGTTCCCTTCTCCTCAGTTGTTTGGAAGAGTTTGATGAGCACTGGTGTTATTTATTTATTTAGGGGGAGAGAGACAGAATGGGGGGAGAGGCAGAGGGAGAACGAGAGAGAGAATCTTAAATAAATTTTACTACTCCCTAAGTAGAGCGTGATGTGGGGCTCAGTCTCACAACACTGAGATTATGACCTGAGCTGAAATCAAGAGTTGGATGCTTAACTGATTGGGCACCCAGGTGTCCCTAGGTTAATTCTTTAAATTTGGGGTAGAATTCTCCAGTGAAGCCATCTGATCCTGAGCTTTTCTTTTTTTGAGAGTTTTTTGACTGCTGTTTTAATCCCCTAATTAGTTATATGACTATTTAGATTTTCTATTTCCTCATGATTCAGTTTTGGTAAGTTGTATGTTTCTGAGGATTTATCAATTTCTTCTGGGTTAACAAATCTGTTGGCATATAATTGTTCATACTGTTCTCTTATAATCCTTTATATTTTTGTGACATAAATTATAATGCTCCCTTTTTCATTTCTGATTTTTTACTTGCGTTTTCTTTTTTCTTTTTTTCCTCCTTGTTTCTTAACTGGATGAGGGTTTGTCAGTTTTGTTGATCTCATAAAAAACAACTGTTTTTGGGCAGCCCAGGTGGCTCAGCGGTTTAGTGCCACCTTTGGCCTAGGGCGTGACACTGGATATCCGGAATCGAGTCCCATGTTGGGCTCCCTGCATGGAGCCTGCTTCTCCCTCTGCCTGTGACTCTGCCTCTTTCTCTGTGTCTCTCATGAATAAATAAAACCTTTAGAAAAAAAAAAAAAGCAAAACTTTTTTCTATTGTTTTTCTATTTTCCATTTCATTTAGCTCTGCTCTAATGTTTATTTCCTTTCTTCTGTTAAATTTTGGTTTAGTTTGTTTTTGTAGTTCCTTGAGGTGTAGTGTGTTGATTTTGAGATCTTTAAAAATTTTTTTTAAAGATTTATTCATTTTAGAGAGCAAGTGTGAGTGAGTGGAGGAGCAGAAGGAGGGTGAGGAGAGAAGCAGGCTCCCTGCTGAGGCAGAATCTGACATGGGACTCCTTCTCACCACCCTGAGATCATGACCTGAGCCAAAATCAAGAGTCAGACACTTAACCGACTGAGCTATCCAGGTGCCCCAAGATCTTTCTTTTTTAGTGTTCACTGCTATAAATTTCCCTCTATTGTTTTCATAGCTTCCCATACATTTTGGTATGTTATGTTTCATTTTTCATTTGTTAAATATTTTCTGATTTCCCTTGTGATTTCTTCTTTGAGCCCCAAATGTATTTTTTACTTTAAAGTTGTATGGAATATAAAATGATTTCAGGGTTTTGTTATCAAGGGAATACAAATACGAGATTATACATTCTAGTAAAATAGATTATACATTCTAATAACCTAGATTATGTATTTCTTCTAGGGTTTCTTCTATTTTGTATGTATAATAAAAGGGAGGGCAAGGATTCCATTGAGCTAGGAATTAGTGACTAAAAAAGGTGCTATTTTAAAAAAATATTTTATTTATTTATTCATGAGAGACAGAGGCAGAGACATAGGCAGAGGGAGAAGTAGGCATCCTGCGAGGAGCCTGATACAGGACTCGATCCCAGAACTCTGGGATCACGACCTGAGCCAAAGGCAGACGCTCAACCACTGAGCACCCAGATGTCCCAAAAGGTGCTATTTTAATAGACAGTGACCATTCACTGAGCACAACCACTATACTTGGCACTGGACATACAGAAGTGCATAAGACAGCCTCTTTGTCCTGATTTTTCATTTGTATATGAAGGATGAGACTAGACTAATGATAACTTAGTAACTTAAGAGAAGAAACTTGGCAGAGAAAACCAGCATTTAGGAGCAATGCTTTTACCCTCTGCCCATTGCTACCTTGAGTTATTTAACACTATCCTTTAAAACAATTTTTTTTTTCACTAGGCATAACACCATCACTGGGCGATGGCTGACTAGGTTCCAGGCTGTGTGGGACCCTAAACAAGAAGACTGTATCATAGTTGGCAGCATGGCTCATCCACGACGGGTAGAAATCTTCCATGAGACAGGAAAGCAGGTGCATTCGTTTTTTGGTGGAGAATGCCTTGTCTCTGTGTGTTCCATCAATGCTATGCACCCAACTCGGTATATTTTGGCTGGAGGTAATTCCAGTGGGAAGATACATGTTTTTATGAGTTAAGAAAGTTGCTGAATATTTGGTTTAGCAACACCAGTTTGTTCAAATTAATCACTAAGGAGCCTAGTAACTCATGTGGCTTGGTCTGTTTTTAATATGTTCTATTTAGTGAATATAAAGTTGTTTTATTAATAAGAACTGTGAGCAGAATGTACACAGTTACATACTTACATGTTTAGTAAGGGAGAAGCCTTTTAAGTTGTTTCTGTAGGTTGGGAAAGAATTTGAGGGGAGGCTGTGATGCCTTCAGCACTTTTAGTATGTTGAGAAACTCTAACAGTATAAATTACAAAGCTTTGAATGATCAGTATTAAGCATTTTTTTTTTGGTTTAATGATATGGTTTTGATTCTGTAGTGATGTTTGGATTTGTGGTTTATTTTATAGTTTGGTGTAAATATTTCTAGACTCATACACTGGAAGGGATCCTGAAAAGTCATCTAACTTTGTGATTTTGAAACTTAATTTTTTTAATGGAGAACTCTTTTCTCCCCCTGCCTTTAATTAAATCTTATGTGAAATCCCAAGATAATTGTTGAGAAGTGTTAGTTCACTTGGGTAGGGGCCTGGGTCTTTGTGTGCGGACCCTTTTACCTCCTTTTGATGACTCCTGAGACATGGCCAAAGTATTCTAGAGGTTCTAGGAACCGGGTTTGGATCTGCCTGACCCTTGTAATCCAGTGTGAGATTGCCTTCAGACCAGTGTTCTCCAGATTGTGGTTTGTAGCTATCCACATGAAATCAAGTTATCCACGACCAGTCTTTAAAAAAAGGAAAAGGAAAGAAATAGTATAGAATAAGTGTTGTTTTGTGAAACTTATAGTGCATACATATATGTAAGTGTATATGCATATGTATATTCTGATGTAAAACATATGTCTTTATTACTGTGGTAACTATTGTGGGTCATGGTTAAAGAAGTGAAAGCTCCTGCCTTAGAAGGTCCCAGACACCCTTATCTGTCCCTGTCTTTAAATTCTCTAGAGATTCATTAGACTGTTAAACGAATGCCTTCATTCCTAATTCATATTGGGGGAAATGTTATGGAAAACCACTTTTGGCATTTTATCATAAAATTTTTTTTTCAGAAGTTAGGGCAATATGAATGAGTTTGTTGTTGGAAGAGTAGCAACTAAGTGACATTAACTGTGTGATACCACCTATCTAACTTTTTTCACTGCCCTTCATTGCCAAAGTACTACTGAAAGACAGTTGTAAATAGTTTTTAGCAGTATGTTTGAATTTTTTTTGGAAGGTTTGAATTCTAAGAGGAAATATCTTCTTAAATTGTATATCAGAAATAAAGTGATGTCGTTTCCTTCTCTGTAATTAGAGGCCAAGTCTAATTTTGAGGCCTAGTTTATTAAGTAGGTTGTGTTTATAAGTAACGAGTTCTCTATTTTCTTGATGATAGGAACAGGAATTGGTAAATGAAATGGAAAATTAGTTTATGAAATGGAAAGTAAAGCTAAATGAGGCTGACTTCTGTTAAACTGCCCTAGAGATAGTAAATGAAGCCTTTAGGCTTCCTTTCCCTTTTCTATACTACTTCATTTCACATGTTCTAAAACGGCTACTTCTGTGAGAATTGCTCTTTTTTTAAGATATTGAAAAATACTCTGGTTGAAATTAGTACCATCATTTAAGCTTTGAGTACTTGGTAATTGCCTGGTTTCTGCAATAAATGTTAGCAAATTCTTGATGTTTCTCACTTTTGTGGTTTCTTTCGCCATTTTAGTTTCATAAACTGTGCTATTTTGTATAATTTCACTTAATAGAGTTCTGTCTTCTTGAGGCAATGCAGGAGGGAAGGAAGGATAGTGAGTGGGGACTTGTTTCTTGGTGATAAGCTCTATAATGGACTAATTGTATAAATCATCTCTAAAATCATTTCATTATTACAGCTTCTGAGTTCTTAATAGTATTTATTTGGGTGGAGGGACAAGGATAATAGATGGATATAAACCAAGATTCTAGTCATGAACAGTAGTCAGCTGTATAAATCATCTTTTTATCTACACGTTGGTAACTTTAAGGAGGAAAACGTGAGACAAGCTGTAAGTTAAAAAAGAGTCCACTCTTCCATGATATTTAAATATTTATTTAATTTTAAAAATAATTTTCATGGCACCAATGATTTTATGCTAAGTATACATACTGCATATGTAGAAAAAAGTACATTGCTTTGAAGGAAAATGTAACTTAGAATTTTTGGCACACGAAAGGTTAACAACTATACTTCTTAATGAAACTAAGAAATTCACATTTGCAGGTAGTTTACCTTCTACTGCTTAAAGATGCAGTACACTATTCTTTAGTAAGAGTTTTATTTCCTCTGATGGATGAAGCTATGGAAACCGTTTTTTTTTTTCCTACAGTGAGATCAAACTAATTTTGAGAGAAAATGGGAGACATAGTGGAACACAGTAAAACCAGGTTAAAAATTTGAACAATGTTTAATGATGGGGAGATACCAAAAAAGACTAGTCACCAACAAAGAAGGTTTGTTATTCAAGCACTATTTGAAAAGCAAATCGAAGGAAACTTTACTATCTGTATTTTCTGGGGTAAGCCCTGGAAAAAAGTAATCCAAAAGTTCTGTTCAGAGAGCGAAATCCAGCTGTTGGAAGTGGTATGGGCTGTTGTATTGTTAGAACTCTAGACACAAGTAACATACCAGGAAATGGAATACTGCATCTTTCTTTAACATGAATATGAAAGGTCAGTGTCAAGGCTATCACTCACTGCATAGAAACACCATATTCTACAGACTGAGGTAGGAACACTACACTAAAAGATAATCTGCTATGTTGCATAAGACAGTAGATACCCAGGTTAAAACCAGCCCCCTATCTCCTGACAGCCTTTTCATCTCCAAGTCTACTTTTCACTTCAGTCTTACACTAAATAAAGCCTTTCCTGTGTAGATGATAAGTGGCAGTGGCTAATTGGTTCTAAGTGATCCCAAATTTTTACTAGAATCTCCCTCAGTTTGTCTTGTCACTTGGTAAATATAGATGTTTGTAATTCTGCCCAAATTGTTGCTGGTATGGAAATGATCAGACATTCCTCTTCCATTCTTAGATTCTGGCCGAGTTTTAGCATTTTAACACTTGATCTTGCTCATCTTGGCATCAGATACCTCTTTGCTGGTTGGTTGGTCAAGCACCCTTTAAACAAGCAACCCAGTGCCTCCACTGGGAAATGGTCCTGGATCTGTAGCAAGTCAGGAATGGGAGCAGAGCTGGCCCTCTTTCTGCTAACATACTGTAAGGAGATTATTGTCTAGATCGGGGTTGGCAAATTATGGCCTGTGGTCCAAATTCAGCTGTCTATTTTTATAAATAAACTTTTATTGGAACACAGCCACACTTTGTGGATGGCTGTTTTTGTGCTATAACGGCAGAGTTGAGTAGTTGCCACAGAGTATGGCCCAGAAAACCAAAATAAAAAAAAAATACTACCCGGCACTTTACTGAAGAAGTTTGCCAACCCTTGGTCTAGATGAAAGGGCATTTACAATTACACAATCCACTCCCCCTGTCCCACGCCCCCTGTTAATTCCACAGCTGTTATACTCTGTACATGGACATGATTCTGTTATTTCAGGGGACAAACTAGGGGAGAGAAAATCTACAAGTGACTCATTCTGTTCTGTATTTGGGCTGCCCAACATCACAGGATGTTAGCAGCTGCTCTACTGTTGTGTGGGTCCCAGGAATATATCTACTGACCATCCTTAAATGAGTCCTCAGGCCCCAGATGACTTAGAAATCTCTCCCTGAGATGAAAACAAGATCTTGTGAGTGGTTGTTTAGAGCTGCAGAGCTTGGGCCTTAGACCCCCACACTCACCCTTCACATGCTGTGCTTTTGCATGCTTCCCTCAGCAAGGATGGCAAATGCTTTCCTACAATTTTTATTTTCCTGATGCATAGGATGACCCTAGGGGGCAGTATTTCTACATCTAAGTGTTGGTCTCGGCCACATTCACCTTCTTTTCTTTTGTAGGCATCTTTTAGTTTGCCTATTTAAAGAGATTCTTTTTCCTGGTCCCTTCCAAGGCTGTTTGTTGATCTTGGAATTCTATTTTCTGAAGCTTTTCATTCTCAGGATCAGTTTCTTTCTTGCATCGTTTAGTTCATCAGGCTCTATTTTCTTAATCCATAAAGTAAAAACAAAATATGAATTGATAAGAAAATAACATTTGTTGTTAAAATATAAATTAAAATAGTTTTTTTTTTTTTTTTTTGAGGGTGGGGAGGTTGTACAAAATAGGTACTTCTCTCTGAATCTCAATAGTTTCTCAGGTACCTTGGCTCTGGTTTCTGTTAACTACACTTTGTCCAACATTTCTGATAGTCCTGTCTCTGGCACCACTGAATTCAACTAACATCTCTGGAGCACTATAAAAGTCTTGAGGTTCTTCAGGAAAAAAAATCACAGAAGTCTAATAAGTTCATTGTACAAAACTCATGGTGATGCCCACTAGGATCTAGTCTAAGGGGACAGACTTACCCCACCCCTGCTGCTGCTTCTGCTGTAGCGGTGGTCCCTTCAGATGCCCACTCTGCTCAGATTTGAAAAAAAAAAAAACAAAAGGAAAAGAAAATCCAACTCAGACCATCATAAGAAGCAACTTTCCATTTAATCATTCTACATGGATGTTTACTTTTTAAAAATCTCTGTCTGGCAAGAAAACCTAGATAGTTCCCATTGTCCAGAAACCTGGCCTGCCCTACTGAGGCTGCACTGATGAATCTACTGGAGTCCAGTAGGAAAGCTCCTGCAGAATATAGAAGACAACTCTCTAGACTTGAACTAGTGTCCCATCTGCTAGGTGACACTACTGCGATAATCAGTAATAGTAAAATAAATTTTTATTTGATACTTTGAAAATAATATACATCTATGAAAAATCAAAATTCAAAACCAAAAATTATCCTGCAAATTGGGATGATGAGAAAAAGAGTCGCTGAGCCTTTCTTGAAAGAACCTCTGAAGGAAATGAGTTTTCCCAGTTTGTTTAGACAGGGCATGAGCCTATCCTTTTTTTCTTCTGGGAAATGACCCTCCTAGGCTGTGGACTTTGAGTCATGAGAGGAGGACTTGGTACATGTGCCGATGGTTCCGCGATGGGTCCCATTGCTGGGAATGGGTAGCCGGGCTCCTTGGTCCGCCTGGCTAGTTATTGGGAGGAGTCATGCCTTCTCAGGTGTCAATGAGCAGGCTCACCACTGAGCGGATTTTGCAGGCAAACCATCGCCTGAGGGGACAAAAGTATTGATAGTGGAATTGTTCAAACTCGGGGGTCTGGCGGATATCGCGGAAAAAGGCAATGTCAAGGTCAGACTCGGTAAGGATGATCAGGAGGAGGAGCAAAACAAAGAGGAGTCCCATGGTCACAAGGAGCAAACGGAGGACACTTAAAACAAACTTATTCACCTGTTCCTCCTCTGGCCTGCTGTGCCCCTGACACAGGGCCCTCAGCTCTCCCCCAAGGGCTTCCACCTCTGCAGCAGTTGGAGTGCTGGCCTCAGACTCCTTCTCCTCTTCGATGCTGCAGGTGGCCCCATTGATCTGCCGGGAAAGCAGCATCAGCTCCAGACTGTGCTCGGCCACAGGGGTGGGCAGCACACTGTCTGCAGGGCTGTAGGCTTCGTCTGCAATCACAGCGACTCGCTCATTGCTGTCTGCCCGGCTGCTTCTCACGTGAGGCAGGAAGGTGTCCCCATGGGAGGAAGAACGCACTGGGGTAGAATGGGCACTATCCCGTAGGGACTCTAGGCCTGGAAAGGCAAAAGGAACATGAGTAAGCTTTCTGGGTCCCAGTGCACACTTTGCTGTTTGGTGGAGGGAGCACCCATTCTGTTTTATATGGTTACTAACATTTTGCAAGGAAACCCTGCTGCACAGCCCACATGACCAGCAACAGTAGCCACTGCACTGTTCTGATGTATCAGGAAGAGGTAGGAGAAGCAGCAGACAACAGAGTGACCATGGTTGAAGTGTTTTGTTTTTTCTTTTTCCTTAGGGTTTTGTTTTTTTTTTTTAAAGATTTATTTATTCATTCAGAGAGAGCGAGAGAGAGGCAGAGACACAGGCAGAGGGAGAAGCAGGCTCCACGCAGGAAGCCCGATGTGGGACTCGATCCCGGGTCTCCAGGATCACACCCCGGGCTGCAGGCGGCGCCAAACCGCTGCGCCACCGGGGCTGCCCTTCCTTAGGGTTTTGGCAAGATTTGTTAAAGATTCTACCTTTCTGGCTTTTGATATTCTGGGCCTGGTTTAGCCCCAATTAAAAGACTATCTGAATCACTGACTAGCCCTGATTCAGATTCAGGCTGGGGCCACAGTTGAGGCCACTCAAAGAGGCCACTCTTTTAAAAGGTGACAGTTGAGGGAGGTCAAGTGTCCCTCATGGGCTGAGGGCTTTGAAGCAGGAATGGGGAGGAGAAAACTATTTTGCTTCAGTGGGCCTCATCAAATACTGATTCTAGAGCTGAGTGTCCTTCTAATAACCCAGCACGCAGCTCCTTGAGTTCTTGAGGTCATCTTTTGGATTGCTACAACTGCTGTCTCTCCAGCTTCCCTCTTGTAGCTGTCCTGATTTTAGGGGATGAGAAAACCTGTCTCCTCTTCCTTAAGTGGTCTCTGATGGAGAAGGGGAATAGCCTTTGGCTAGCTCCCTTTCTTTTCATC